CAAGCTTCCGTAGGTGCTTCTGGGGCCACTGACTCCACCTCATTTGTGTGGAATCACAACACAAATAACTACTAACTGCACACTCATCTAATGTGTACTCCATGCCCCGCACTATTGTAAGCACCTTATGTGTGTATGTTAATTCACTTATTACGTATTACCATCTACCTCTACAGGCCAGTGCATTTCAGGGTAAGTGTAAAGCACTTAAAACAGTGACTTGCATGTAGCACTATAAAAGTTATAATTATTCATAATCCCCATTTTGCAGATGAAAAGTTGAGGCACAGAGAGGTCAGCCAGCCCAGGGCTGCTTGGTTACTGTCTGGACTCTAGTCTCCGCTTTTAGCCAGCGCTCTCTCTGGTGCAGGGAACAGGGGCACCCGGGCGTGGAGTGCTTTGTCGCTGCAGACAGAGGTTTGAAGTGGCTTTCTAGGAGGTAAAATCCTAACTGCGTGCTCTGCTGTTTTTCCCCCATGCACACACCTCCAGGAAGGTCCCCATGAGGCATCCCCTTGACCCTGTGTTGCCCCACTAGATGCCACTTTGCCTTGAGAGGGCTACCTACACTTGCGCTCCCTTTCTCTTCCTCTCCCACTCACCCCGTCCTTGGTCTCCTCCTCCCCACTTCTACCCCAGCCTCACCCCTACACTGACTCGATGCTACTAAGGTCACTTGACTCCCTCATTGCCAAATCCAATGACCAATTTGCAGTGCTCTTCCTGCCTTCCCCTGGGCCCTTGGATCTCATCCTTTTTTAAGATTCTTTTTTAAAGATTTTACTTATTTATTTAACACAAAGAGAGAGAGATCACAAGTAGGCAGAGAGGCAGGCAGAGAGAGAAGGGGAAGCAGCTCCCCACTGAGCAGAGCGCCCTATGCGGGGCTCGATCCCAGGACCCTGAGATCATGACCTGAGCCAAAGGCAGACACCTAACTGACTGAGCCACCCAGTCGCCCCAGCTTGGGTCTCATTCTAGAACAACCCTTTCCTGAATCCAGAATTCTCTCCAGGCTCTCCCTCCTCCCTGGCAGTGCCTTCCCAGTGTCTGCTGTGGGAATCTTCCACTGCCCTTCCTGGCACACTTCCTTCTCACTTTGTGGCAAGCCCTGGGCAATAGCATTCCCTTTGGCCTCTTTGCCAAGGATCCACTCCTCTTCTGTATCAAAAGCACATATCCAAATGCCACCCTGACCCCTCCCTTCTGGGTGTTTCACAGCTCCCTTTACCTTGAAGGAACCAAAGCAGAACTCATTTCTTTCTTTTTTTAAAAAGAGTTTATTTATGTAATTGACAGTGAGAGAGAGAGAGAGAGCGAGAGCACGAGAGAGAGAGCACAAGCAGAGGGAGCAGCAGACAGAGGGAGAAACAGGCTCCCCACCGAGCAGGTAGCCTGATGCGAGGCTCGATCCCAGGACTGAGGGATCGTGACCTGAGCCGAAGGCAGACGCTTAACAACTGAGCCATCCAGGCAACCCAAACTCATCATTTCTGAGACCACAGCCCACAGTCTCCCTCCTCAAACTTGGTCTCTTTGTGTCCCCATCCCCAGGAAGGGTGCCACCATCCACACACTTGTAGAAGCTGGAAAGTCATCTTGGGCTCCTGCCAACTTCCCACCGCCCTGTGGCACCTGTTACCAAGGCCTGGCCAGGTGACCTCGTAGGCATCCATCCCCACAGCCACCGCCCTGGTCCAAGAGAACATCCCCTTCTACATATAAGCCATGTTATTAGTCTGCTGTATCCCTGACAGCTGCTTCTCAAACTTAAATGTGCACCTGAATAACTTGGAAAGGCTTTAAAAAGTCTTCACGACCAGGTCTGGTCTAGACCAATTAAATCAGAAGCCCTCAGCGTGGAAGCTTCGACCACCAGCATTTTTAAAGCGATTCCAATAGGGCAACCAAGGTTAAGAAGCACCGTGAGAAGATGCTTTGAGCTGCAAACAGCACCTGTTTGGAGCTCAAGTTGGTTAAATCAGTGTGCTAAATTGGTTAAATAATAAATAATAAATTTAAATCAGTTAAATCATCATCAGAATCATGCATCAAAATCAGCTAGTGGGGCTTATTTTTTATTTATTTATTTTTTATTTTTTGACAGACACAGATCACAAGTAGGCAGAGAAGCAGGCAGGGAGAGGAGGAAGCAGGCTCCCTGCAGAGCAGAGAGCCCTACGCGGGGCTTGATCCCAGGACCCTGGCATCATGACCTAAGCGGAAGGCAGGGGCTTTAACCCACTGAGCCACCCAGGCACCCACCCCCCGGGGCTTTTTAAAATACAGATTGCGGGGGGGGGGGGGGGGGGGGGGGCGGGGAGGGCACATCCTGAGTTTCTGAGTCAGCAGGTCTGGAATGGAGTCTAAAAATTTACATTTCCGGGGCACCTGGGTGGTTCAGTGGGTTAAAGCCTCTGCCTTCCGCTCAGGCTTCCTCTCTCTCTGCCTGCCTCTCTGCCCACTTGTGATCTCTGTCTGTCAAATGAATAAATAAAATCTTTAAAAAAAAAGAATTTACATTTCCAACGATGCTGGTCTGCAGCCCATACAACCAAGTCTCACTGCCCCCCACAAACCCATGGGTAGAGAGCTCCCTCCCTGATCTGCCCAGCCTTCCCAAATCCTGCTTTGTCACTGGTTGTCCTTCCACAAGCTAACCTTGGCTTCCCGCTGTGACTCCTGCGGGTAAGAGGCAGACCTTATCATGACCAAGTGGCGAAGTAGGAGAAGGATGGGTCTTGGAGTGTAGCCCACCCCAGTTTACCACCCACCCCAAGGAGATGTATCTCTTGCTTCCTTGTTGACCTTGGGTAAGTCACCTGACCTGAGCCTAATTTTTCTTCATTTGTTTAATTTCATAGCATCACTGGCCTTAAAGGCCGCTAGAAAAATCAACTAACTCCTGATGTGGGAATCCTATAGTCTTGACTGAGCTCTCCGCAGAGCCCTACTCTTTCTTCTCCTTGTCCCCCACATGCATAGATTATGGAGTCACAGACCTGCATGTGTCCCCACGTTCACTCTTTATCCATGCGATCTCTGCAAAGTCACTTAATGAGCACTTCCTAGAGCATTACTATCCTAATCTGTGGGATGGGAATGGGAGATTAAATGAAAGGCAAAGCTCCCAATCAATGAATGTCATATGCAAAATGCTTGGTGAATGAAGTTCTTAAAGGCACAGCTTTGTCGGGGCATCTGGCTGGCTCAGCCAGAAGAACATCTGACTCTTGATCTGGGGGTCATGAATTTGAGCCCCACAATGGGTGTAGAGATTGCTTGAATAACTAGGAAAAAAAACACAGCTTTGTCTCTAGGTGATACAGTGGTTCATGGCCAGTCCTATAGTTCTAAATAGCAAATTAAGGAGGAAAAAGCCCAAGGATGTTCTGGACACCCCCAGCTGTCCCACCCCACTGCCCACAGATGAGTCAATGTCAACCCCACCCCACCCCACCCCACCCCACCCCCAAGGACAAAAGGGAAGGAAATGAGGCCACACTCCATTTGCTCTCTGACTGGATCTATGCCCTCCATCAAGCTTACCGGTCTGTCTGTCACCTGTTCTCTGCACAGCCCTTCTCCTTAGAGGGTCCCTTCTAAGGGCCCGAGATCATGCATTCTCAGGAGACGTTCCCTGGTGGGCATGGAAACCTTTGAATCTGGAATCCCTGACCCTGGTATTTCAACTTACTCTGGGTTGCAGGGCTGGGAGGCCCGTGGGGCACTGCTCCGTTCTGGGAACCTTTCTTTACCAGCCAAGCAGGTCGAATTTAAACCCCATCAATTAGTCTTTCAGAATATCTCCTTTTTTTTTTTTTTTTTTTTTTTTTTTTTTTTTTTTTTTTATTTTTTTATTTTTTTTTTAGAAAGAGAGAGAGAGAGAGAGAGCACAGGCAGACAGAGTGGCAGGCAGAGGCAGAGGGAGAAGCAGGCTCCCCACAGAACAAGGAGCCCGATGTGGGACTCGATCCCAGGACGCTGGGATCATGACCTGAGCCGAAGGCAGCTGCTTAACCAACTGAGCCACCCAGGCGTCCCTTTTTTTTGCTTTTTAAAGATTTTATTTATTTATGTGGCAGGGACAGAGGGAGCACAAGCAGGGGGAGTGGGAGAGGGAGAAGAAGGCTTCCCTTGGAGCAGGGAGCCCAAATGCGGGGCTCAATCCCCAGAACCCTGGGATCATGATCCGAACCGAAGGCAGACACTTAAAGACTGACCCACCCAGGCGCCCCGAATATCTCCTTTTTGGTTAAATCAAAACGAGCTCTGTAGACCTATCCCCAGTCTCCGGGTTTTGATATCGCACAACAGCTACGTGAGATGTCACCCCTGGGGGAAACCCGGTAAAGGTATACGGGGAACCTTCCTGCTGGTTCTCCCAAACTCCTTGCGACTCTCTAATTTCAAAATAAATCTATCTCGTTAAAAATCTTTTCAAGTTCCTTTCCACTCCCCAGGCCACCCCTATGTCTAGACCCTTATCACCTCCCTCTCGGATCCTGGCAACCGCCTCCTGATTTTCCTTCTGTCTTTGGTCCTGGCACACACTGGTCCATCCAGACGACCTCATCCCTGTGTTGCTTCCTCGAAAGGATCCACGGTGGTGATGGCTGGAACAGCGCCTTTAGCAAACGATTATCAGTAAACTGCTCAGGAGGACTCGGCAGAACCAACAAACCCAGCCCTCGACCCGCGAAGGCGACGCAGTCAAACCCCGGAAGGCCCAAGCCCCGCCCCTCGGAACGCTCCGACGATCAGGCCCCGCCCCGAGGGACGTACCAACGGCCAAGCCCCGCCCTTCGGGTACGCCCCAACGCTCAGGCCCCGCCCCGCGAGCCGGGTACTGCCAAGTCCCGCCCTTTCGGACGCTCCAACGGTCGGGCCCCGCCCCCAGGGTGCCCAACGGCCAGATCCCGCCTCTCGGGTCGCGCCAACGGCCAGACCCCGCCCCGCGTGCGTGCGCGGCCCCGCGGAGGCGTGCTGGCGTCCGCGTCGTGGGAGGCTGAGGTGGCAGCGGGCCTGTCAGCATGGAGCTGCCGCAGATGTCGGAGCTGATGGGCCTGTCGCTGCTGCTCGGGCTGCTGGCCCTGATGGCGACGGCGGCGGTAGCGCGGGGGTGGCTGCGCGCGGAGGAGGAGACGTGCAGCCGGTCCGCGGGTTAGTGGGGCGGGGCGGGTGGGGGCGACCCGCGGGGACCTCCCCGTGGTCCGACGTGCGGTTTGGGCCGGGCAGGGGTGCCGCGGACCCCCGGGGCCTCAGTTTCTCCTTTGGTGAAGTGAGCTTCGCTTCCCGAGACGAGGTAGCGGCTCGCCGGGCTGGTCGCGCCCGCAGTTGCAGGCTGCGTCCCGCGCTGTCGCCGTCTCGGTGGCGGAGGCCGAGGAGCTGTCCCGCTCCGCCTCCGCGTCCCCCCGGGGCTGCTGCGAGCTTGCAAACTCTGCAGCGCGCCACTAGCTCGTTATTTCAGGAAAGCGGGGAGGGGTGAGGGGAGGCGGACCCGCATTTGTAAGCGCTCCCGACTAGTTCTTAATAGGTGGTGGCGGGGGGGGGGGGCTCCTTTAGGGAGCGCGCTCTCGCGTAAGGGAGAACCCCCGAAAGTGTAAGCGAAAAATAGAGTGTAGTAGGTTTCAGGGAGGAGGTCGGTCCTAGCGACTGGAAACCCAAGGGTGGGAGTGGTCAGCCCTGTTTTTTGTTGTTGTTGTTGCGGGCGGGGGGGGGGGGTCAAGGAAATCTTCTGAGTAGGAAGCACGTGGCGTGGGGTCTTGAAGGATGGATGTGTCCGTTTGGCCAAGGAGGAAGGAAGCGCATCGCTGGCAAAGGCATCGCGCATGAAGGCAGGCGGTTCTCCAAGAGCGTTTGATGGGACTCTGATGTGAGCGGAGCCGAGGGTGCAGGTGGGACAAGGCTGGAGAGGGCAGATTGTGGTGGTCTCCGCGCACAGGCTCAGTCGCTGTATTTCCTGTAGGAACTGAGGGGCATCTGCAGTGATCTAACAAAGCCAGCTTTGCACCTGGCCTGCTTCTCAGCGGAAATAGCTGTTTTATGCAAAAGGGACTGGCGCCCTTTGCGCACAGGGTTGGTGCTCCACAGGTGTCCACTCCCTACCTCTCATCCCTGAGTGCTCTCTGGGAGTCCTCTGAGCCTCCGTGGCTTCTTGTGTGGAGTAATCCTCTCTTCTCTTTAAGGAGACGAAAGCCCAGAGCAGTGAAGCAACTTGCCCAAGGCCGGGGCCACCAGATTTGGTGGTGCAGGTTTTTCCCTACCTAGGGATGTCTGGCCGGTGATCTGCACTTGGGTGCTGTGCCGTGTACCCGCTGAGCTGTGCGGGCCCAGAGAGGGCGCCTTTTCTGATTTGCACTGAGGTGCTGTGTGGACTAACAGCAAGCAGTGTCTCCAGATCACTCAGTGGCACAGACACAGTCCAAACCCAGTCTGATCCCAAACCCAGTTTGCCCACATCACTGTCCCTTCTCAAGCCTGGGACCCTGTCTGGTCACCTCTTGCTGCTGCACTCAACGTCTGGCCAATCACAGATGGTCAGAAGGGCCGAGTGAGCGAGTGAATGGGTACATGACACGGCCCCTCCTCATAGGCCAAAAAGCAAATGGATTGCCACTTGACAAGTCCTTGAGATCCAAGAAGCAGAAACAGTATCAACGAATTCGCAAGGAGAAGCCTCAACAGCACAACTTCTCGCACCGCCTCCTGGCCGGGGCACTGAAGGTACATGGGCACCCGTGCTCAGTGCACACACACACACACACACTCACACCCCTTCCTCCCCCCCGCAGACTTTCCCTCACTAGTATTCTATGCACGTGACAGACTCTTCTGCCTCTGACCCAAATCCGTGGGGATGCCCCATCCCGTCCCTCCTCACGACACCCCATCACCAGCTTGCCGTTAATCCAGACAACAGACCCCATCTTCCCAAGGGGTCCCTGTTCATACTTCCTGCAACCCTTCCCTCAGAGCCACAGTGGGAACATATCTTGCATGGACTTTAGCAGCAATGGCAAGTACCTGGCCACCTGCGCAGACGATCGCACCGTCCGCATCTGGAGCACCAAGGACTTCCTGCAGCGGGAGCATCGCAGCATGAGAGCCAACGTGGAGCTGGACCACGCCACCCTGGTGCGCTTCAGCCCCGACTGCAGGTAGGACTCAGCTCTGCCCGCAGAAGCCCAGCCCCAGGCTTTATGTCCTTCCCACACCTGACTTGGGATAGCGGTGGGGCGGGGGGGACCCTGGATCTCCCTGGGGCGTGGCAGAAAGCAGATCCGGACAGCTTGAGCACCGCCTAGGGATCCGTGGAGGTCTCTGCATTTTACACAGCCAGGAAGCAGAGAGGGGATGATGTGTTCCTCCTTGGGAAGTACCAGACGCGGCCTGGCTCCAGAGTCATCTTGGAAGCCATTATAACGTTTTTCTAAACTCTGAAGGAGCCAAAGCTACGAGAGTCATATCTTCTGAGGAGTGTTAAGAGGTTTTGAACCAAGGGGTTAAGTTGCAGGGCTGACTGGGGCAAGAAGGAAGACCGTGGTTTTCCTCAGAGCCTAGCATAGAACCTGGCACACAGAGGCCTCCAAACGAACGAGTGCCTTGTCTGCTACCTGTCTCTAGGGCCTTCATCGTCTGGCTGGCCAACGGAGACACCCTTCGTGTCTTCAAGATGACCAAGCGAGAGGATGGAGGCTATACCTTCACAGCTAACCCAGAGGACTTTCCTAAAAAGCACAAGGCACCCGTCATCAACATTGGCATCGCGGACACGGGTAAGAGGTGTTCAGAGGGTAAGACTAGAAGAAATTGCATCAGTTACCTGCTGAATGTGTTAGCGCTGCCTGAGAGTTACGCTCGGTTCTAGTGTGACGAAAGGTCTCTGGCTCTGGGCTCCCCTGGTGTCCCAGAGCCACAGCAGGTCCCCAACGCAGGCAGGTAAGACCCACAGTCTTGAGCAAAATCCTTATCTTTGGGACCCTTGGCCTAGGAGGGGAGCATGGAGATTTGAGACAGCAGAGGTCTTTGTAAGTGTCCCCTCAGAGAATGACGCTTGGTTAGGTCATTGACCCCAGTTCATGTCACCACCCCCCTGGTCCTTGCTCTCTCAGGGAAGTTCATCATGACTGCTTCCAGTGACACGACTATCCTCATCTGGAACCTGAAAGGTCATGTGCTGTCGACCATCAACACCAACCAGATGAACAACACGCATGCTGCTATCTCCCCCTGTAGCCGGTGAGGAAGGAGGGACTTGGCATCCGGGGTGGGCAGAAGTTGTGGCCAGGGACAGAGCAGAGAGCCAGCTTCAAACAGTGGAAAGAGCGTACGGTGTGGAATCAGGACGCCTAGAGCCAAGCCCTTAGTCTCTGTTCATCTGTAGTTTTTAGAAGGCTGGGCTGGGGGTATTACATACCTTATGAAGATGGACTGAGTCCTGCGTATAAAAGCGGTTTTAAAAGACATGGTGTTATTTACGCATAAGATTATTAACTCTCCCAGGAATGAGGTTTAGCAGGTTGGCAGAAATGAGATGCCCTTAAAGTGAAGTTGTAAAGGAACCTGGTTGTGTGGCAGGTTCGTGGCCTCGTGTGGCTTCACCCCAGATGTAAAAGTCTGGGAAGTGTGCTTTGGGAAGAAAAGCGACTTCCAGGAGGTCGTGCGAGCCTTCGAACTGAAGGGCCACTCTGCGGCCGTCCACTTCTTCGCTTTCTCCAATGACTCCCGCAGGTGAGTGCCTCCTCTCTGACATCTTACCGGTGCCTCTCAGCCCCTCTTGGCAACCAGGGCCCTTTTCCCTATCTCTGCTGCCGCTCTGAAGTGGGTAGAGTGCCCGGGCTTCAGCAGGAGGTAGGCCTGGCAGTGCATTTGGCTTCCTAGCTGGAGCCCCTCACGCCATCCTGGTGCCCTCCCCGCTCAGGGTGTGTTGGGGCTAGAGCCGTGATTTTCCATGCTGCAGGATGGCCTCCGTCTCCAAGGACGGTACGTGGAAACTGTGGGACACAGACGTGGAGTACAAGAAGCAGCAGGATCCCTACTTGCTGAGGACAGGCTGCTTTGAAGTGGCGAGTGCCATGCCGTGCCGCCTGGCACTCTCCCCGGACGCCCAGGTCTTGGCCTTGGCCAGTGGCAGCAGTATTCATCTCTACAATACCCGGCGGGGTGAGAAGGAGGAGAGCTTTGAGCAGGTCCACGGGGAGTGTATCACTGACTTGTCCTTTGACATCACTGGCCGGCTTCTGGCCTCCTGTGGGGACCGGGCAGTGCGGCTTTTCCACAACACCCCTGGCCACCGGGCAGTGGTGGAGGAAATGCAGGGCCTCCTGAAGCGGGCCTCCAACGAGAGCACCCGCCAGAGGCTGCAGCAGCAGCTGACCCAGGCCCAGGAGGCTCTGAGAAGCCTGGGCGCCTTGAAGAAATGACTCTGGGAGGGTCTGGCAGGAAGGATCTGGCCTGCTGCTGCCACCGTGGCTGCCCTTTCTTCCCAGGGACCCCCAGCTGGGAACCTTTTGAAAGGAGAATTCTGATTTTCTCAGTGGTGGCTCCTCTCTCCCTTTTCCCCATTGAAACTATTCTTGCCTACTTTGATCTCTCTCTCTCCTTGCCGGTTGTGACTCCTGGCCTTACTTGACCTCCCCAGTCTAATGACCAAGGTGCTTCTCTTTCTCCTGGGCCCGAGGAATCTGTCTTCACCAGGCACAGAGGGAAGGAGTAAATTGGAGAGAGAGAAGACATGGCCTTGACCTTGTGGCATCACACCCTGGTACCCAAAGGAGTTTGTAATTGTGGAGGCAAAACCTAGGGCACACCTGAGTACTAACCAGTGGTCTTGGCAGGGGTGGGAGCCTGGGGTATTTTCCTCTGTGCTGTGCTGTGGTGTCAAGGAAGGGCTAGTCTTAATTCAGGCGAAGCTCCTACCTCCATTGAAGGGGAATTAAGGGATTCCATTTTGTGCCTCAGTTTTTTTATTTGTAAAATGGACATTAGATTTTCTCTCGACCTGCTTATTATAGAGGTGTTGTGAAGGTATGCACGTATAAAGTCCCTCGATGTGGAAAAGAGTACTAATGTGTGTTGCCTGTTGGCCAATCTCACTTACTAGCAACCAGGTAAAAGTGGGACTCAGTGGAGTTCGAAACTAAATGAAAGGAAAGAAATACATTCCCTTGGGAAGGCTAAGTTTCTGGAACTTGATCATACATGTTGTATCTGGTTCTGCTTTGAGTTGGGTAGAGGAATCATAGGATTCTAGGATTGGACTCCTCTTTTCAAGGTTTACATCCTGTTTTCAGTTTGTCCTGTATTTCAGCGTCCGCTCTGTGTCCAGCACAGCACCAGGCACTGGAGATAAAAATGAACAGGACATGATTCCTGCCGTCAGTCATGGCTAATGGGAGGGGGGCAAATGGCTATCAAGCGCTTTCTCCCAGTTAATTCATAGCTGTAGACGGCTGCTAGGAAAGTCAAGGCGAGAGAGGACTGAATCAGGACACAGGCAATGGATCTGAAGTTAAAGGGACAGAGTTGGTAAGATATGCAGCATTTCGAAGTTCAGATGTTTTGGATTTGAGACCGTTTGGTTGTGGGAGAAGGAAAACGAGGATCCAGAAGCCTTGAATCTTGGCAAAATGCATTCATCTGAAATCACGTTCTTGCTGTCTCTTTCCCTAAAACAGAGGCCTCCCCACATATCCCCAACTCCTAAATATTTGAACGAGGCATAACCTTGGAGTTATCCTTAATGATGGACTCTCTTTTTCATTAATCCCTCCAGCCTACTCTCGCTCCTACCATTCCACTCCATCAGAAAATTCTTTTGGTTGGACTCGAGATTATATCCTGAATCTGTTTCTCTCCATCTTTTCTGTTATCATCCTGGTCCTAGCCGCTGTCACCTACTGGACTGTGAGAAGGTTGCTTCCTCACAGGTCCCACTGCTTCCTCCCTTGCCTCGTTAAGTCACTCTCTACGTAGCAGAGTGATTTTCGAAAATGTAAATCAGGACACATTGTTCCCAAGCAAAAACCTTCCAGAGGCTTCCCATTGCACTTGGAATAAAATCCAAAATTCTCGTCATAGCCTACAAGGTCCTATGTAATCTGGCTTCTTCCTTCCTCTGTGATCTCGTTACCACTCACCCAGCCACCCCAACCTTGCTGTTAGAGATCTGGCCAAGTTCTGTCCCAAGAAGCTGTGCCCTCTGCTTGGAAGCCTTTTTCTTTGCTGTTGGCCGACTTGTCATGCTTGTCGTAATTCAGTCCTCTGTCCAGTTACACTTGACAGAGAACCCTCCCTGACCACCCAGTCTGAAGTAGCCCTTTCCACCAATCATATCACACCTGCCACATTAGCTTACTTTATTTGTTTTGTATTTACCTAATGCTGGCTTGAAATTATCTTGTTTGGATATTTGTTTGCTCCTGGGGCTGAATACTTAGGAAGGTCAAGTGGAAAACGCAGATGCATGCATGGGGCCACACTGGCCCGAGTGCAAGACGCTGGGAAATGGGGGGAAACTGAAGTGATCTCCTGAGGGCCCGGGTCCGGGGTGAGGGAGAAGAAGGGTGGCCGCTACTTATTATTCAGGAATCCAGCAGAAGTTGCTTGAGAGAAGCTAGAAGCTGGCGATTTATTGGACAAAGACAAAAATTAAACACTGTGCGGACCAAACAGAACACTAACGTGGGCCAGATGCAGCCCACCAGTCTCGTTGGGAGCTTCTGGATTGTTCATTAAGCTACGGAAATGTGAGCTCCACAAGGGCAGATCTTTGTCCGTTTTATTTGCTCTGTATCCCAAGCACAATACCAGGGACAGAGTAAGCACTCAGTAAATATTGAAGTCAGACTGGGGGGCCGGTTAGCAGACATGTCGATGCCCCCTGTGTGCATTGTCCCTCTCAATGTCCTTTGTGGTTTTATACTCCTGATAACAGACTTCTGGTTTATAATGCTATGTCCATGGATCCCAGTGAATATTTGCTTTCAGGGTGTCAGAAGAACGAGGCTAAAACACTTCTTTGCACATCTGTCTGGTTCTGGCTTTACTCTCACTGTGTATCCAGGAGGCAAGTGAGCATCGTATGTTGAGTTACTGAAGTCAGAAGTCTTTGGCTCCAGGTTTGGCCGGGTCGCTGACTGACTTGAGACCTTGAGCAGACAGATCACAGGGCCGCTCTCTGAGTTTGTTTCCTCATCTGTAAAATGGGAATGAATCCTGTCCTGAGGGTTTTGCAGGGCCGTGAGTGTCTCATGAGACAAGTGAAGCGGGAAAAGCCTCAGGACTTCCCGGGGACACCGCTCCTCTCACAATGTCACTAATGTCAAGGGCGCTCCTCTTCTCAGCATGGAAGAAGGTATCTGGACATTAACACAGAGCAGAGGCTGCCGTGTGTTTCTGATGAAAACTCTGTGTGTGAAGGCAGCATTAATATTTTAGAATTACTATCTCAACTTCTGTGGGTTTGCAATTTTTCAAAATAAAAAGCCAGGGATATATTTTACATGGTGGTACATAGCCTATTTTTATCAGTCATCAAAAATAGAACATGGTATTTAAACCACAAAACTGCACAATTAAAGGCCTATTGATAGCCTTGGTCCATTTCCATCAAGGTAGGAAGGCTCCTCTGCAAGACTGCCCTGTAATCAGAGGTGAATGGGGGTAGGAGGCACAGACTGTCGCCACGAGTCATCAGTGATAGTGGGTCATCTCAGCGTTAGGTAGACCGAACATTGCCCCCAATTGGCCACAGATCTAGAAACGTAGTAATTTGGGGGTTCATGTACTTCTCTACCAGAGGCGGCGTCTTGTTGGTGAGCGTGGCTTGGTTCCTTACCCCGCTCTCGAGGCAGAGGCGCACTGAGGGGCACGGGTTGGCATTGCAGGACTGGCCACAGCAACTGAAGGCCCGATTGCTGTATGAAATTCCGCTGTGGCTTCTAAGCATGCCAGGGCATTTCCACGTCTCCCATTTCTTCAAGCTGCCAACTCCGATTCCAGAGTTCTGGGCTGCTGGAGAATGAGCCTGGTTTCCACTTTCCCACACGCACACCCGGTTTGAGTCCATCCGCGTTTCCTTTTTTTTTTTTTTAAAGATTTTATTTATTTGACAGATAGATCACAAGTAGACAAGGAGGCCGGCAGAGAGAGACGGGGAGGCAGGCTCCCTGCTGAGCAGAGAGCCTGATGCGGGGCTCGATCCCAGGACCCTGAGATCATGACCTGAGCCGAAGGCAGAGGCTTTAACCCACTGAGCCACCCAGGCGTCCCTCATCCGTATTTTCTTGATCACGCGAGTAGCGGCTAACTTGAGTACTAAGCCTTTGATCCCCCAAAACCCACTATTGTTTTTGCCTCAGCCGGCCTCGCGGCATCCACATCTTAATTTTCATTTGGTGAGCTACGCTTCCCCAACTCTTAATCCACAATCCACACGACTTAGAGGAGAGAGACGGAGACCCTCCATGGTGGGCATGTAACCGATCATCAGGTCCCTGGACTTGCCAGATCTTTAGAAAAGATTTACTTTTCCACGGGACTGCTTAGTAAGTAGGATTAGGCGTATTACAATGGGCAGTCCTGCCCTAGGAGGAAGCTAACACAGGGAGGCAGAGACCGCATGCTGAGGATGCCGGTGAGGCTGCGGGATCCAGACAGTTACAAGAACCAATAAATTCCTATTTATGATGAAGTCTGTTTGAATTGGATATTCTTACTTGCAATCGAAAGGTCTTAACATCGGTATTATTAGAATTAAACCGCCCAAGGCATACAATCAATGGCACACCCCAGTGTCTCAGTGGCCTCTCTGGTACATACCTTTAGCCATCAGGCACATCCCCAACATCTGTAAAAGCCAGGAGCAGGAATACAAATGGAGATTCCCGCGCCACGTCCTAAGATTTCAAAGTTAAAAAACCCAAGCTGAGCCCAAATACGTCCCACCCTCCTCACCGAGACATAACGTTCCGGAAGGCCGAGTTTGAATTAGAATTCTGAGTCCAGTCTGTGCCACAGTGTGCTGTCACAGCGCTCCCCCCCACCCCACGTGGTCTAGGCCTCTTCTCTTCCCACCTGGGTCTTGGCCACATTGCAAGGGAAGCCCCAGCGCACACTTCCCAGGTGTCATCATATTGCTGCAAACCATGACTTCTTACCCCCTCCACCCGCCCGCACTTGGCCTTAGGGTGTGTACCATGGGGCAGCGCCATCGTGAAAATGGCCCCAGGGGAGAGGCTCCGGTAGGCCTTGGAAGCAGGCTTGGGTCATTCTGGACAAGGATTCCAAGATCTGAGGTGGGTACCTGAACTGTTGTCTGGTGAGTGAGATGGGAACACAAGTGCTGAGTGTCCCCATTTCCCTGGTCCCGCAAATCCTGTGCCTCATGGAGAGGGACATAGCCGGAGGAGGCCAGGACAGGTTCCCCCAGAAGGAGGCCTCTTGGCCCACATCCAGCATTGTTAGCCTTGTTAACCACCCTTGGTGTTTTGCCTGTAGTTTCAAGTTCCCTAACCTAAGCTAAGCTCTCAACCCATCAGAAATGAAATGCAGGGGCGCCTGGGTGGCTCAGTGGGTTGAGCCTCTG